ATGTTGCCTGTAGGACAATGCTTTCTTCCGTCTCTGGAGGCACTCCGCTATGCATAGACAGTCCGGGTATGTGGGGTAAGGGTTTCGACATGTACTCAACGGTGAGATGTATTCACCCTATTTAGTTTAATCTGATGAAGGATTGGTAGTAGAATTTTCCCACAATGATATGAGTATGGCTGACTTTTCCATTGAATTTCACATAGCCTTGTTTTCCCAAAAGATGTTCTCACTCAGACACCAGTGGACTTTCGTTTCGATCTCGTCTCGGTCTTATCAACACTCCCAGCGGGAGTCGAACCGTGACAGCGCAGAATGTGAGCTGTCCTTGTGTCACAGAGCAGATGTGAATTTTGAGCAAGGCCAGGCCTTTCGCCATATCACATTCTTTGGTGAGATTGTCGATGAAGCAAGCGTATTTTTGCTATAACAATCGACTACGTTGCTTATTTTTCGTATGTAAGTAGAATTTCGAGACTACCAGTAAATCAGTAGTATGATATGTATTCATCGTATTTCGTTTAAGGCAATGAAAGACTGGCAGTACAGTGAATACATCTCATATTACAGACTTACTGCATACGAAAAAAAGAAGATAAATAATGCCTTCCGTTGTGATGGCAAATACTTGTTGGACTCGTCGATATTGTCATTAAAAACTCGATTTGGCACAAGTCCAACTAAACAATTGTATTCAGCCTATTCCGTTTAAGATGACGAGGAAGACTGATAGCTGAATTGCCCCACAATAAGTTGAGTAGGCTCTTATATCAGATCTACAAGAAGTTTCGAAAACCTATTTGTACATTTGCACGGATACCGGTGGGACGATGGGGTGAGGTTGTGACTGTAGACCATTCGGTATGAACAACTCTTTTGTGATTGACCAAATGAAGCGGACTTTGGTGGCACCCCTCGCATCTGCCAGAGTGGCCAAGTTTCCAGCAATCACGTCAACCCCGCACCTACACACGCTCATGCTCTCTCTCTCTCTCTCTCTTTCGTCCGACCGGTGCATGTCTGCTCAGTGCGCCAACCTCATGCTGATAGAATGCATCCCCAAGGCCCCACTTGCCTTCCACATTCTGCCCTTCGACAACCCGAAGGCCCAGCGCACTCTGAAGGCGCCCAGCCTGGCCGTCAAGTTGATCTGGTGCCGCGAGATCAAGCGCCTGATCCTGGACAACTACGACGCTCTAATTCCGGAAAAGGCCAAACAGATCGTGCTCAACATGACGCCTGACAAGGTGCCCGGTCTCGGTCTCGGTCTCGTCCGCGAAATCGTGGCCGAAGTCGGCTTGCCCACTCTCGCGACTGGCGGAAGTGTCGACTGTGCCGGTAGCCGCAATCCCAACCACTGCATTGCCAAGTGCAACGGCGTGGTCGGAGCATCCGGTACGTCGACTGGACGGTCTCCGGTCGTTGCAGCAGACCTGCCCGCATCGGAGGCGACTGTCGGTTTGGTTAACGGACAAAAATCGGGCAGACGCAAAAGTACCAGTCTCCTTCCAGGTGCGTCTTCACGCCGGTCGTCTGCTTAAGCCGGCATAAGAGCATACCTTTCGGCTTTTCACACCTTAATTACGTCCTCCCCTAATTGCGGTGCTGAAGAGTTGTCCTACACCGTTGCCAACAGGGCGATATAAGTCATCGTTTCTGGATAGGCCAAAATACTGCCAAATCGGAGTTCTTAAAATTGTCTGCGTAGTCTATTATTTGCATGACACAGTCTTAGGATGCATCCTTTATAGGGAAGAGCTAGTTTTACCACTACAGGTCGACATGATAACCAGATTGTGAATTAATTTAGTGATTCTTCTAATTCTTCTTTTCACGCTTTCAGTACCTGCAAGGTGTTCCGTGTCACTGGGTCATATCCCTAAAATAAACCACAAAGTCGATTACTTTCACACACTTTCTATGCCATACAAGGGAAGCTTCACCATTCAGAGAGGTGGCTTAACGCTAAAAAATACCATCTTCCTTCAACTTTTCATTTGGACTCGCAGAGAACACGAAGATTATCTCCAAATGATTTATAACTTATTTTGATGCATTATGCGTTTACTACTGAAATGACAATTAAGTAAGATATGATTATTTATATAATTTATGACGATGCCGTGTTAATGACTCATAAATTGTAAA